ATATTCCTCCAAATTTAGTCAGTGTTATTCCAGACAAAACCTGCAAAAAAAACTATAGTGAGCGACAAGATAGTGAATCAATAAAAGTGATGTAATTTCTAACTGCTCACCGACAATTTATATCAAAATTTCTATCAAATAAAGGATTGCTCAGTCCCCTTTTGAAACAGTAGCAAAAAAAAGATGAAGCAGAAAGAAAAAGTAACATTATACAAAATACTTACCGAAGATCCCATTGTTGCAAGAGCAATTCGAGCTCTTTCCAATCGACTTCGATGGATACTAATGGTAAAAGCGCGCATTATGTGAGAGCAAAATTCTACAGAGATTCCAGCTGCCTATATTAAAGCAGTAAGTAAACAAACAGCGCAAATATGCAAAACCTGTTTCAGTATTGAAGTTCTTTAAACTACCACTAACCATGACTAGATTTACGACAGACACAGCGTTAAAGTCGATGTCCCACCAGTGCATGAGACCAATTAAATTGAACAAGGTACTGGCAATAGTTATATCAATAATCATTGCTGACCACGGATCTAATCCCAGAAGTACTGTGGCCACAGCAAAAATTGCAATCAGGGACAATATCAGTTGCACACATGCATCGGCTTTTATGGTAACATACTGTTCATAAAATGGGTAGAAAACGCTAAAAAATTTTTTTATCATAACAACAAAAAAAATCATTTGCCAAAAACTAAAAAAAAAAAAAAAAACAAAAAACAAAAAGAACTTAATACCTGTATGGAAATACTTCTACAGCACAACGATTTTTGCGATTCTGGTTTAATTCTTTCGCGATACTATCACTAAGCTTACGGGCGCTTGCCATTGCGTTGATAAAATCCGATGAGCTTTTTAGTACAGTGTGGTAAGCAGCAAAATAAGAAGCAGGAACCCAAATTTTCTCCTTTGTATCCAGCCGTACAGCAGATGCAAATGCTGCATGACCTCTGAAATGAAAAATTTGTCTTTTATCCAGCAAATCTAAATTGACTACTAAAATTAAAAAACTTTTTTGAAAAAAATAACATGACAGAAACAATTAGGTTATAATCAACTGATACCCTTTTGCGCATTTAGTTCCCGGAATGTCTTTCAAGAAATACTCAAGGTAATTATAGAATAAGTCCGATCTGGGTCTTCCTTTTTCATAGACAACGTCACAAGGACGACATTCTTTTGAATTTTCTTAAAAAAACCAGCTCCATCAGAAAGAAATAAGCTATACTATTATTTTCTTCGAAACTCTTAAAAGTAAATTATTTACTTTACTAACCACCAAAATTAATATTTTAGCAAAAAGAAGGAAAATTTTAACACAAAGATGTACCATTTGCAGAACAGAAAGACCCATTTTTGAACAGCCGACAACATGGAGGATCACCTTTAGGTGACAACCAATCCAAGTAATCGTCTAACCAATTCATAGCTGGTTGGGCAATGTATGATCTAAACAATAAAGTTTTGAAACTTCTTCTGACAGAAAGCAAAGTTATCTACAGCGAAACATTTCAATCATCAAATTCTTCACTACTGTAAAACTAAATTAACGACTAGGGTGCGCTCTAAATGTTTTCTAAAATGAATAAATTTTACAAAATTTTTTGAAAATTAAAATGAAACCGTTGTAAAAATTATGGGGCAACTTAGTCATATGTGTTAAGTACAACTAAAGGAAGACTACAACAAAGTAATAATTATATCAGCTTGTTAATGGTAGAAATTTGTACCGTATAATAACCTATAAATTCTATCGACTACCTTTCTGGCCATTTTGCGGCATGAGCAATTTGCGCTCCCAGCGATAGTGGACTACTCCCAGCTCCCGAACTAATTCTGTTTTGGTCAAAAATAAGATTATAATCTAATTCACCTTTCACAACAAAGTACACTGGCGGACCGACAGAGAGGAATCTGTCCATCGCTTTAAAGTGCGACAAGACATAGGAATTCTAAAAATCATTTAAGGATATACCAGATAAAAACCGACTAGTTCGTGCTTCCCTAGGCATTTTTAAAAAGCAAACCTCTGGAACTGCCATCTTCTGGTCGAAACCGACATTCAGCCTACTTACTACAGCCAAAGAACTACAGAGCCATGAAAGAAACGTAAATATCTAGAACAAATTTTCATTATTTTGGAAATTTAGAGACAAAGTTTTAAACGAACTGCTCACCACAACGATTCTGACATATTTTGAGAGAATAAATGGAGCAAAATAGTCACAGAAAAGGTGTAGAAGAAAACCATCATTGTTCTGTTGGTCTGGCTCCATTGGATACTGTTTACAACAAAGAACTTCAAGCCTTCCATTCTAAAAAAAAATGTATCCTTTTTAGCTCAAATACGATACAGGAAAAGACGAAACTACAAAAATATAATCAAAAAAATCACCTCTTCTCTGCGAACGTCGAGAATAAAGATAGCAAGAAAACAAGTAATTTGCAGGAAGAAATTGAAGAAAATAGCCAACCCAGCATACAGTGAGAATACCTAAAGTTTTACACGCATTTATATAGCTTTATCTTTATTGGTAACGCATTAAAAACAAAAGTGTGTTATACTAATATGCCGCTTTTCCTTAACCTAGAAAAGACCCACGAAAAAAGTAATGTACTTCAGGCATAAGAGAATAAAGAAACATCAAGAAATTAATTCTAATTATGATTTCACGAAAGTGGCAAACGAGCTGAAATGTTTGCGCGTTACAAAAAATATCTTCCTACTTATTTTTGAAAGAATTGAAAGAGGAAGTGTATATAGAGAACTTTACTATCAATAAAAAATTTGCTGAACAGGATTCAATAATCAACACAATACCTTCACAGCAGGCATTGAAGATAAAGACCCGAGGAAGAAGCACAAGCATTCTGACAGTGAAGAAAGAAGCATTGAAGGTATAACTTCACCACTTATACGAGACATTCTCACATTCAGCGGCTCGACCAGTGACGTATCCATTCTCTGCAAATGTATCAGCTTAGCGTGTTCCGATGATGACTTTTACTAGAGAAACAGTGACAACATTTGAATGTAACCAAATGAAGTCATTAATTTAATAAAAACTAACCTGGTATGCCTGAACAAAAATAAAAATGTTGTCAACGCCGATAGCAAGTACAAGAAAGGGTTGAACTTCTAAAACTATCATTGTGGCCGGAATTCCGTAGAAGGCATATACACCAATTGAGGCTGTAACAGAAAGAGCAACGATTAGTACTCCTGCTACTCCAAGCATTATTTTCGAATGTATGAGCAATGTCGCCAGATTGTTATTTGACACCTAAAAGAAAGAGACAACTCGATGAACTTAGATTGGACGTGACATTTATACAACCAATTCACTTTTAAACAAACTATTTAAAGACAGTAACAACTGTAGTTATGTTAGGACTAGTCACCTGATACTGCCCAAGCGCAAAAGCAACATAGCCAAACATGAACATATAACTTATTAGAATAGTAAACGCATCTGATTCACTTTCGCGTTCAATTTCATCCTGTAAAAGCATGCCAGGTTTTGTCAAATAACTCTTTTGCTTTTGAAAAATAACATTATACTTCACAAAACAGAAATTTACAGTCTGAGGAAACTCGAGAAATTAGGACAAAAATAAATGGATCTACAACTAGACCTCTATAGACCTTTCTGCCATAAATGATATAGTGTAGTTTGGATGGGAAATGTTCTTCAAATACGCAATAAATTCTTTTTCCCAAAGCTGAGCTTTAATATTGTTTGTGTGCTTCAATTGGTTGTTAATGATAAACGTGATAACTAAGCCTCGAGCGGTATGATGTTGATTCGAGCTATTGAAACCTCCTAAAGCAACGAACGGGGATACCGGCGCACCAAATGCTGAGAAGCATGAAAGGCCCAAAGGACTTTTAATTGTGTATGGATTCCTGCAATAGAGCTAATACTTCGGTAAACGAGTAATATGCCTTCAATTGTAGAGTTGAAGGTAAAAGCAGAGTTTTTAAACTAATTTCGCAAAGTTTAAGAATAACTATTATTAGCAGATGTTTACACAGAAATCAATTGCTCACTTAATCACTTAATAAGTGTATAGTCCTCAGCCATTTATTTGTTAACAAATAGTTAATAAAGTAAGTAAAAAAATGTTAGTACTAACTCTGCACAAGCAAGAAGATGGTTTAAATAATCGTATGATTCAAATGAATCTTCATCTGATATGGTTTTATTCAAATTCTTTGGATCGTTCTGCAAATTAATACATTACTGGACTGAGATAACCCTTAACAAAACGCCATGTATCCATCATAAACAAAAAAAAAAGCAAAGATGACAATATTACCTGGAAATAATTTAAGACTGACATTATTGTACAGTTAGTATTTGCTGGAGCCATCGGTTGGAAACAAACATCATTCAACGTTACGGGGGTGTTATCTTTGGTATATGCAACAAGGCGTTCGACCTCAGTTTGTAATTCCAACACCTAAAAATGTAATATTATTCTCCGTAACCATGCTGATTTACTAAGTAATATACTAGTAGATTAAAACTTACACTCATAAGAAAATTTTTTCGGAGTGCTGGGCCATAGTAGGTCTCCAGAAACTGGTCGTTTACATCGGTTCGAGGAAAAAAACTTTGATCATGTGGAAAAACGATAATTTGTTCTGTGCGATAAAATGGGCTGAAAAGTAGGATAATAATGCCAAAAAATAAACAGACCTGATAAACAGCAGCAAAATTAAAAAGCAATCCTACTTTACTGACAACTAAAGGTTAGAATACCCAAAATTAGCATCAAAGAAATTTTTCTCCCTACGAGCCCGACTATCTTCACTTGACCATAGTTCTATAGGGTCCGTAGTAAATCGTACTAGTACAAGTCCTGTTGAACAAACTAGCGCCACACATAAACCAAAAGCAAATACAGCAAGGGGACGACGCGTACAAAGCTGAAATAATATTAGGAGTTATGCGAAGCTCTAAAGAATAGAAAATTTTCAAGAAATTACGGTAAGTTTCTCAAATTTCACATATCACTTTTGGCAATGATAGCAGCCGACCTTTTAACCTTTTCAAATTTAACTTTCTACCAATTAAAGCAAAAAAAATCCATGAGTTGCTCGGAATAAAACTGTTTCTAGAGTTCTGCATCCTTATAAAGTGAACTTTCTTCAAGCCCACACAAAGAATTAACGGTAGAATTACTTCTCCGTAATGCGCACACATCACTTCTAGCTGAGACTCAATCCAAGATCCAAGGCTTTCAACATTCCCCAGATCGCCATCAGCGATTCCTGCCATAGCCGGCTTGAAATCACTAAGGTCTGCTTCATGATCCTTTCGTAGGGCGTAATGAACTGTAGTGAAAAAGCCGACAGCAAAGCAGAAAGCGGCAAAAGCAGCGAACGAAAGAACAACCATACAGTCGACAGAGGCAATCTCACATTTTTCCTTAAAAAATATAGAGTTGATTTTTGAAAGCATTTATTTAACGTAAAGAAATACTAAAAAACAGCAATGAACGAAGGAAAAAAAAAATTAAATATGCCATCAATAAATAATGACCTGAGTTATTTTTGGATATGGCTGAGAAGCAGAACATGCTGCAGGACAGTCCTGACAAGAGCATGGGCTCGTACTGGGATACGGAGCCTCAGAACAACGTGTAATTGTTGAAGTCGGTGGATACATCTGCTTACCAGTTAATGTATGATCACGCGTAGTTATGAAGCGAATGTTAAATGGTACACCGACGTCTCGGTTCTGCGTTCCGAGAAAGCTGAAAAGCCTTTCGCTTGTACATTCCTCTCTGTCAGCACCGCCGCAGAGCATGTTGAGCGCAAATGTTCCAGACGTATAAACCTTCAAATAATTTATCTGTACTAACAGTAAAAGACTGCTACAGGTGAAAAAAAATCTGAAGGTATAGAAAAAAACCTAGCTTACCAAATGGATAATCCTGTTATTAAATAACCAAGTTGACTACAGTAATAACTTTTTCAAGATTACATAAATAATCAAAGACCTACATTTCGACAAGAATCCAGCAGACCGTTAGCGTAACTGTCTTTTACGTAGTACTCCACCTCAGCTACATAGGCAGTCTTGTTCGGTCTGTAATAAACAAAAAAACCAGGTTAGTTGTTCACCCAGTACACCCACATTCACGGTTCGAAAAATTTTAAAAAATTTTGACCGTAACAAAATCCTACACAAGAAAATAAATTTCCCATAAAAAAAACTTTCACTTTCCTCCTTTTCCGTTTCTCCAAGAAAAAAGAGAAGGAAATGAACAAAAAAAGTGAAAATTCAGGCAACCATAACTTTTTTCCTTCACGATGAACCTGATCTTTTTTTCTAAAAAAAAAGAAAGACGGAGGTAAAAGTGAATGTCTTAAGAAAAAAGATTATTCGAAATAAATATATTTATGCAAAGATAGGTAAATGAAAACGATAAAACGAGTAAAGCAGTAAAAATCTGTATCAGATTCATAAAGGAAGAGTATCTACAAGAAGTTCAATTTCTTAGTTTCCCTTTCATAACATTTGATACCAAAATTCACAGTGATTAACCTGATTAAAATATGCAGAAACTATAAGACAATCTGCAAGCTTTTAATGCTATAAATTAGATGTTGCAAAAGATCAGTTGTTCACAGATAAATTTTTATACCTGTTAACAGAATTTTAATTCATGTTGAAAGTAATTATAATTTGAAAAAAAATATGAAATTGCAGTTTAAAATAAACACCTACAATTAGCATCAGTTTAAAACCTAAATTATATCCCAACCAAGAAACTTTTGAACAACTGATGACCTCTTTCCCATCAATTATTAGCTTACAACTTTTTGCGGCAAATGTTACATTAAGTGTTCTCATATGATTGCTGATTCGCAAAAAGATCACTTTTGTTGTTTACAAAATTTGCGATCATTAGATTATTTTTAAGAATTAGTGAGGTATTTTTATCAGAAAAAAGAGCACAATGTTCTATTAAACCTTTTAAATAATTAGTAATTGTTTCAAGATTAGTAACATAGATCGCTAAGTGTTCAAAAAACTGAGAAAATAAGAAAAAAGAAAACAAATTTATTAAAAATTGTCATGGAAAACTTTTTCCATGTTCTCTCTTGCTCAATATTTGTTTTCAAAATAGACTGATTAATTCATTTCAAAAAAAATGGCAAGAACACTGAAAAGGCTGCTAAAGGTAGAATGGATAAGCTAGATAGAGATTTTCTTTACACCTCAAACATCAATTCTTATTCTACTGAGCCCTTGCACAACTTCAGTAAGAGGAAAAAAAGAGCAGACAAGACTTGATTTTCAAAAGCTATTAGTCAAAAGATCAAAACAGTATAAAAATTAAATGCATTAACAGTAACACTTACAGTAAAGCCGAATCGTTTCGAGTTTCAATAATTTGTACAAAGTCGCTTTGTCTTGGCGAACACGTAAAATCGCACCATATTTGAAAGAAGTTAAATTTACAACTTGGGCATCGTCCAAGGAGTTGATTTGGCAATGTCAGCTGTTTGCTCAAAAGTAATACTTGTTCTTCGTCACAACAAAAGTCTTTGTTGCCATCTGTAATATAACCAAATTAAAATTTTAGTCAAATTACCTATCAATGAAATAAAACAGTCCGTAGAATCAGCCTTGGTGCCTGTAAATCAACGGTTTTACTCAAAATCTTTAAGTTGTCATTCCTTACCCGTCACAGTTAGGATATCCAACAGCTGTATCAAAGTATAGAATACTGTAGACTAAAAATCAACATTTTTAGTCTTAGAAAAATTTGCAACGTGTACTTGGTAGATTTTACTAGAAACAGTAGAAAAAAAACGTTAAAAAAATTATTAAAATTTATTGTTTCAAAGATCACTTTCAACGATTGGACTTTTCTTACAATTAACTTAGGACAGCTCAACAGCATACCTGTTTAGCTTCTCGGTAAGGTCATTGAAAATTTTTGCTTTGTTATAATATACCTATCAATTTCTTATTCTATTTTTTTTCGCTAAAATAAAGTTATTATTGCTGTTTCTTTTTGCTTTTATATCGATTAATTTCTAGAAAATAACTCCAAATACTTATTATATTTGTTAAAGAAAAAAAACAGTTTTTGAATGAAAGACAATTTGACTTCAGTCAAATAATCCAAAGTTAAAAAAAAAATAAGTTTTTTCTAATTTACCTGACATAAATGAATCCATAAATAAACCAAGTTCTTTTAGAACTATTGATTCTTTCACCTGATAATTGCTTTTGTTCTTCTCAATTTTTTTCAAAACACTTCATCAAGAGTTATGCGCAAAATTGATTAACATTTGAAAAATTTTACTTCCGCTACGTTTTGCTCTCCTCGAAGAAAATAAGAAAATAAATCAAAAATTTTTGCCGTATTAAAACATGATCTTTGGCTTACTTAAAACTGATTAATAAAAAAAAAAAAAAAAAAAAAAAAAAA